CCCCAAAGCCTCAGTAGATAGTTGTACGTCCTAGTTGCACATCCTTCTAATTGCTGTATGTGGGACGCGGCCTCAGCATGGCCGGAGAAGCAGTGCGTCGGTGCGTGCCTGGGATCCGAACCCAGGCCACCAGTAGCGGAGCGCATGCACTTAACCACCAAGCCACAGGGCCGGCCCAAGGAGATGTTAATAATGCAGATTAAATGCAAACATGTGTCCCATCTATAGCATTACATTGTAAATAGCAACACACACCAAAAATGTGAAAAAAGAAATTGAGAAAATAGACTTCCTATATGTGAAAACTGTGATCTAATACAGCAGATAAGTTGATCGTGTCATTGATGAATGAAGGGAATTCCAACATCTTTGTTCTTTCACTTTTTCACTTTCTTCTTACTCTTTAATGTAAATGAAAATATCAACATTCACGTTGGAACTACACTTATGCATCAATTTACAACCACAGGCGGGCTAACAAGAGTTAGGCAAAATTCCAGAAAAGTACTCTGTAAGAATTAACTGGCTATCTGGAATTTATAACAAAGATTAGATTTAGATTTAGATTTCTATCAGTAAAATTTATGATAAACACACACACATCTATACACCCTTTGTTTCAGAGAGCCAATTATTAAACATTTACAAGCACACACTGTTTTGTTTCCCCTCCACTAAAAGTTTAATTTCTTGAGGGTAAGAACTTTCTTTTATTCCAGCACTGAGGACAGCCCCTGAATGTAGCCGCTGCACAGTCAACATAGGTGACCAGGATGAACAGATGAGCAGAGTGGGGAACCGCTAGCTTCATGAGTTGACTGTTAGCCCTTAGGTTTCCAGCTCCACCATTATCTAGCTATGTGGCCTTGAGCAAATTAGCCTCTTTGAACCTTGGCTTCTTCATTAAAAAAGAGAGAATAATCCTCTTACCTCACAGGGAGGTGGTGACAACATATGCCCTTGCCTGGCACCTACTAGGCTTCTCCACTGGTGGGAGTTTCCTCCTCACCCTCCACCCCTGCCACACACATATTCCCTGGAGACCCAGCCCTGCTGCTGTAACACATTTCAGTGATGTCACAGGTCCCCTCCCTGGGAGCTCCAGCGCAAGCATCCTGATGCGCAGCCTGAGGGCTGGCTGAACTGAGAGGGGCAGGACACAGGCAGTGCCGGGTACCAGTCTTGCTCCATCTGTCTTTGAGGCCTCACACCCCCAGCATGAGTCCATCGGCAAAGAAGAGGCCCAAGAATAGAGTGATTTCCAAGGTTGGACTTGGGACTGGACCTAGAGGGGACCTGAACAAAGAGTCCAAACACATCGAGAGCAGATGCCTTCCAGCCTGGGGAGAAAGGGAGAGGTGAAGGGCAAGGGAGGTCGGGAGACTTAGAATGGTCTTCCTATTTCTGCTCCCAATCCAAGGTGACAAAATTCCCAGTCTAGGGTTGGTCAAACCATGCTCAGCTAAATGGAGAGGCATAATGGAGGTGTTCAGGGGCATTCCTCCTGTGTTAGTGCTATTTCTCTCTCTGTCTCTCAGATGCAAGATAAGGAACCACAGGACAAGATTCAGCAGCCTGTCAGCAAAGTACTTGAGCGGAACCGACTTAAAATGGTGAGATGCCCCATTTTGGTCCCATTGTAGGAGAGCCTGAGCTCCCACGTAATGCTGCTCCTGGTTGGCAGGCTGAGTGACCCAGAAGGAGTCACCAGGCCAAGCCTTGAGCTGAGTTGAGCCAAAGTCTAGGTGGGGTGTGGGAGGCTATCCCAGGAAAGCTGAAGCTTCTGTTTTTCTGGTTTCTTGACCTTGGCAGGTGTTAAAAAACTTGTCGCTCTTGAGGCTTCTCAAGAGCTCGAACCCCCGGATCCAAGAACTGTATAGCCTGGCCAAAAGGTGTTGGAATTCACTGCTCAGAGTTCCGAAGATCCTCAGGATCTCCTCTGGGTGAGCTCGGCCCACTCATGGCCCCCAGCAGGGACCCAAGAGCTATCTTTCCTAGGAACAGGCACTGTGCTAAGGAATTTAGAAAACCTAATTTTCACAAAGGCTCTGTGAGAAAGGTATTTATTGGCCCTATGTCACTAACAGGGAGCTGAGGCTCAGGAGATAAAGTGACTTCTCCAGGTTAACTGAACTGATAAGTGGCAGAGCTAGGATCTGAAGCATTCCTGCCTGATACCAGAGCTGTGGTCATAAGCATGGTCATAATCATCCAGTTATGGGACTAGCCACCACCTGGGGCACTGAGCAAGAGGGGCCCCTCCTCCTGCTCCCCCTCTCACGTCAACATAACCCCGAGATTCACCTGCAGACCAGTCATCTTGCTGAGGCTCAGTTTCCTCATAAGTCACATCAGAATATTAAGAAAGCTAACATTTATTAAGTACCTGCTAAGTGCCAGGTACTATGCTAAGTACTTTACAAGCATTTTCCCATTTAGTTTATTCTTCACAACGATCCTGTTAAGTAGACAGAATTATCCCAGTTTTACAGATGAGGAAACTAAGGCTCTGAGAGGTTAAATTTCTTGTCCCAAATCGCACAGATGGTAAGGGGGCAGAAGGGAATTTGAATCCCAGTTTGTCTGTCTCAAAAGCCTGTGCTCTCCAAGCTGCTCTGCCACTTCACTGCCTCCTGCTTTGCAGGACCTGTTGTGAGGGTCCTGGGCATGCCACATAGTGGGCACTCAATTAACGGTGGCCATTATCATCATCAGCATTGTCATTACCGTGAGTCCAAGGCATCACCCCTCTTCACACGCACTCAGCTAGGACAGTGCTGCCACTTTGCAAGGGGCCCAATCTATTACAGACACCCTTTGGGAAAGTCTCCTTCCAGCATTTAATCCTCTGGGTAACTCTGCCTCCCTCAGGTGGCCTCCCTGACGCAGGCAGTCAGGAAACACTGAGCCAGAAGGGTCAGGCTCATTTAGTCCCACAGTTTTCCATCCTTTTTAAAGCAGTGAACCTCTCTTCAAATATCTGTCCCCAAGCTCCAGTTGTGTGTGTGTGGGGAGGGGAGGTTGTTATCCTATCCTGTTATCCATGCGGGGAGGGGGTCGGCATTTGAGATACCTCCTCAGAACCCTAAAGTTTCTTGGAACACAACTTGAAAAAAACACTGGACTAGTTCACCCCATCAACTGAAATCTAGAGGCAGAACCCTAACTTAGTGGCTGAGGCAGACAATATATATTCCTAGGCGTCCTATGTCATTGCCTTTCACCTTTCCAACCTCCCAGATCCCTTCTGCCAATACTCATCACATCCCCTGCCCCAGGCACAAGGCCTCTGGGTGGTAGAGATGTTTCTTTTCAGGCCCTCTCTAGCTTTCTGAACAGGCTCCTCTGAGCTGGCTGCATAGCACCTGTCTCAGGGCCAGGCTAGAGAACCAGGGCTTTAGTCCTGCTCTGCTCACTGCCATTCTTCTCCCTGCCAGGAACAACGATGGCTGCGATAAAGTGGAACAAAACAATGAAGAGCTCCAGGAGGCTGGGTGCTCCAAGAAGAAACTGGAGTCCAAGAAATTAGAGTCCATAGAGGAGGAGGAGGAAGCTGCGTCTCCTAAGGAGACACAGCCCATGGAGGAGGTGGGGCAGAAGAACAAGGCCCAGCAGTCACCTGCAGCAGTGCCACAGAAAGAAGAGCAGGTGGAGCCTGAGGTCCCAACGACATCAAGGAGTCATGGCCTGACCCCTTGCCCTGGAGCCCAGAGGAAGCAGCCACCCACTGGGGGCTCCCGAGTCGTCTTCCTCAAGACCTACCTGCACAGAACTCCCATGGAGGATGGGAAGCAGCTGGAAGCAGCTGACCAGTGGGTCTGGTTTGAGGGGCTGCCCACACGAGTCCACCTCCCAGGGCCCCGAGTGATGTGCAGATCATCCACCCTGCGCTGGGTCAAGCGCTGCTGCACCCGTTTCTGCTCTGCGTCACTTGAGCTGCCTATGTGCCATCCATACAGGGTGTGACAACGCCACTGCCAGGCCAGGGTGAGACGCAGGCCCCAAGCCAGCCCCAGAGCTGGGCCCCAGGGTTAGAGGGCTCAGGATCCAGAGTCTTGGGGGCTGTGGCTGGCAGTGCGGGGAGGCCCTACCTTCATGCTCAGAGAGGAAAGCCCAGAGAGGGGGAAGCCATTGACCAAGACCACAAGCCATTGACCAAGGAGGGTAGTGGCTAGGCTGGGTCCTCCCAAGATCCAACTAGTTGCTCTGGGGAAGGAGAGGCATTGGAAGTGGGGGTTCTGAGGGGGGTCATCCCATTGCCTGGAGGCCTCAGGAGGGGCCACAAGTGCTTTAGCTCAGAATCTCACAGAAGTCTGAGTAAGAGAGTTTCAGGATTTCTAAATGTGGAGGAGGAGGAGTGGTCAGGTAGGGCTTGGCCACATCCCATCCCATTAGACCAAATCAACTTTCCATTTATTTATTCATGCTTCAAATAACACTTACCCTGAACAAAAAGTTCCTTAGCGAAAAACAAAAAAGGAAGAAAATACTCCAGCCCCTCCATGAGAGAACTGAGGTCCCAAGAAAGGAAGGGAGTAATGGGTTCGGGGGTCCAGCTGAAAGGGACGCTCCCCTTCACAAAATCCACTTCTCCAACTTGCCAGATATCGCGACACCCGGTCCCTGAGCCCTCTCCCTGGACGGCAGCGCCTCCTGGGGGTGATCTTAGCTCCTAACTAACACGGAGGTCTCTGCTCGCAGGTGGTGTGACCTTGGATGGGAGCCAGAGGTGTGAGGAGAGGACGGAGACCACTCAACCATCTGAAAGGGAGGGATGGGCGGGAAAATTCGGAAAAAGTCTACAAATAAAATCTCCCATATGGCACTGAAGAATACTACCGCTCGCTCTGCCCGTGTGTCTGGGGCAGGAAAGGATGGAGGAAAGAGGCCCTCAGTGGAAGTGGGGAGGGAGAGTGTGCATCACGACTTCAGGCTTCTTCCGCCTCATCCCCAGCGCCCTAAAATCAGTCTAGAAGCCAGAGCAAAGAAGCCAGCGAGCTGCACCCCTCCCCCACCTCCGCGAGCTAGCCTCCTGAGTGATGCACCCTATGAAGTCACAGAGGGGGAACATTTGTCGGGGGCTTCCTTGTGCCAGGTGCCTCACAATGGCCCTGCAAACCAAGGACACCGCGGCGTCCAGACAGGAAGTCACTTGCCCAGGCTCCCAAAGCTAGGAAGTGGCAGAGCAAGTACTCCAATCTAGGTCTGCTGGCTGCTCCCCATTCCAGTTTCCGAAGGAAAGAAAAAGGCGCAATGGAGCATGCAGCCCGTCATGCACGTGCATTGCGAGCTGATTAGCGCAGCATCAGGTGTCGATAAATGGGTGTCAGCTGGGCCTCGAAATGAACCCCTGCCTGAGTCACGGAAAGCACCGAGTCAGGCGGGGAGTTGGCACTGCGTCCCTACTGCTCCTGTGTGACATGGCACATGCACCCTCCAACCCCAAGCCCTGGTCAACCACAACCGGTCAGGGTCACCCTCGGTCCGTAGGAGCCAAAGGGCCCTGAACATGCAGTTAGGAAGAGGAAAACCTGGGACCTCGGGCGTTCTCCGGATGAAGACTACAATCCGCCGTATTCCCCAGAGCAGGCTGCGCAGAGTGGGCGCCCTAGGGAAAGCAGCGGAGCCTTGAGGGGCCCAGAGCACCACCCCCCCGGAGGGACCCAGGGCAGTGATGGAGATCGCCAGATTGGGAGAGAGAGACAGAGGTATGGGAGGGGCTGCCCCTGAACCCGCCCGCTGGCCCCCCCACCCCGCTCCTCCTGGGTGCTCAGCACCGTGACTGCGCATCCGTGGGGCCGGCGCCGTCAGGAAATGGAACGCGTGTCTCTTGGGGCGGCGCGGACGGGCTGAGCGCGGCCCCGGCGCGGGACTGCTCTGCGCCGCCCTGCTGGGCCTCGGTGAGGCGGCCCGGTGCCTCCGCGGCGCGCTCCCCAACTCCCCTGCGGGCCGGCGTCCTGGCGCGGCGCCCCCTTATCCACCCGGCATCCCCTCCGCCGCCGGCACTTCCCGCGCAACCTCCACCCCAGTAACCTCCCTTTCAAGCTGTCTTCCTGCTCAGCTTGCACCCCAGCCCATGTCCTGAGTAGTCTCCATTTCGGTTCCCTTGCTGGACATTATCAATCCCAAAACCTTCGAAAATAACGTCTACTCGGTCCTTCCTCCCAGGCACCTTCCATTCCATCAACTTGCGCGTGAACTTCTGCCCTGCGCGCCATCAGCGGGCGGTCAAGATAGCGCGCTCCCAACCAAAAAACCAAACCCTGTCGGGGACCCCCTGCACTAGTCTTGATAGGAGCCTAGTCTTCATAGGAACCTACCCAGGGCACCCCAAATGGGGGCTGGAAAGACATGGACCTGGGGGAGATTGGCAACTTCTGCTTTGCCCCATAGGGAGCCAAAGCCAGCCCGGGCTGCCCACAAGGAATGCCATCAAGGAGACGTGTGCCTGTGTGCCTAGGGAGGGACCCAGCATGGCCAGGGCTCCGGGTGCGCACCTTCCAGGTTTATTCCCACCTGCCTCCCACAATCCCACAACTGGGGTCTCGCCACTACCACCCTCCCTTTGTTTAACCACTCCAATCTGAGGCCCCTCTTCTGGGCTCAGTTAGATCCTGATTTGGGCAGGAGGCTGCACAGATCTCAGGGATCAGAAACCACCCTAGAAATGGCTCCCTAACAGTTGGCTGGGGGAAAAACTAAAGGGTTTGAGTGAGTGACTTTTAACAAGTCACATGACCTCTCTCAGACTATTTCATCTCTTCATAAAACAGGGATACTAATATCCATTCCAGAGGGCTTTGAGCAAATCAGGCTTGATGTAGGTGAAGCCCACTTGTGGGGTGTTGAACAAATGTTTGGCCTTTTTCCATGCCTGCTCCCTGGCCCTGCACCATAATAAAGCCCCAAGGCCACTACTGGCCCTGTTTCTCACTATGAGCAGCTGCCTAATTGCCTACCTTTAGGGAACTAGCTGCTTGTTAAAAAGCCGATCTTATGTTCACATTCACAACCTTTTGATAAAACAGCACCCGGGTTCTCGAGACTGTCTCTGTCTCAATTTAGATCATGTTCCACCAAATGACCGGAACATGGAAAGAGGATGAGGCTTTTGAGGCAGACAGGCCTAGCTTCTTATCAGCTGTGTGATGTTAGGGAAAGCTGTTTACTCCTAATCCTCAGTTTCTTTGTCTGGAAAATTGAGGAAATAATGGTGTCTATCTCACTGGATCAAGTGAGAATATACATAAATCACTTTGCAGTGCACAGTACACAGGAGCGCAAAACTTGGTGGCTGTACCGAAATCACAGGCAATCCTATCCCCCATCTAACACTGAAAACACTGAGGCTCAGAAGAAGGTGTCTCCTCTGTAAAACGGGGAGGGGAGAGTGGTGGCCCATCATAACTACAAGTGCTTAGATTTATGGATCACTTCCTGCCAGGCACGGTGCTAAGTGCTTTCCACGTGACATCGCACTGAATCCTCACAACCACCCAGGGAAGAAGTACTATCCTCAGTTTACAAATGAGGAAACCGAGGTAGGGGAGGTTAAGTAGCTTATCCAAAGTCTCACAGCTGGTAATGGGACTCCAGGACTTCACCCTGCACTCCACTGCAGCTCTCCAAAGCCTTCTAGCATTGGACCCTAGAACTCTCACTGACTGGCCCCGGTAGTGGAAGGACAGGAATTAAAACTCCCAGCTCCCTCTACCCTCTCTCGTCTCAATGCTGTTTTCACCACCCTTTACTACTTTCCTACAAAAAACCTCAAGCGAGACAGTGGCTTTTAATTCCCTCTCCACTGAGGGCCCCTCTGTGCCCTTCATCCACCTCTACACCCCTGCCTCTGAGGCTCTGTCGTCCCTGGGCTACAGATACAGGGAGGAGTTCCACACCTGCGCATCGACGGCCCTCTGGGACTGCCAGGAGGAAGCTACCCTGATCTGGGAGTTACTGAGGAAAAAGCCTAAGAAACTCTGCTTCCAGGGGAGCCTGTTTGAGCTGTGCACCCCCCAGGACTCAGGGGGACCTGGAGCTTCCCACTCTGCCCCCTGGTGTCTGCTGGCTGCCATCCTGGTCCCCGTTTGGCTCTGATCTAGACAGGGCCGCCTAGAACTACAGGTTAGAGGCACTCTCTGAGCAAGACATCCCTTTCTCCTTTCCTGTCCTCCCAGGTTACAAACCATCCTAGGACCCAGCTATGCACTGGTCTCCACGTTCTCTCTCTAATGGCCCAAGTTCAGGGGGCGGGAAGGTCTAGACTTCAGACTCCTAGAAATTCAAGAGATACACCAAGTCAGAGTAGGGTGGAGGTAACTTTCTGATCTGGGTACTGTCCTTTACCCTTTGGAAATAAAAACATTTCTTACATTCCCATGTCCACCTGGAAATCTGTGGCCATATTTAATGTACAGCATATCAGTTTTTCTCAGAAAGCTTGTAATGTTTATAAAGCACTCTACATCCTTAGTATTCAAAACAATACAGTAGGATGAGAAGGTACAAGGTGCAGATTGTTTAACCAATAAGAACTTATACATCCTTAATTATTAATGTCTTCCAAATGAGTTTATTATTACTACTGAAGCCCAAACCCTGGCTCTGCCAGCTCCTAACATGGAACCTTGAGCAAGTTCCTTAGCTTCCTCATCTGTGAGATAGAGGATGATATCCCCTACCTCAGAGGGTTGTTGTGAAGATTAAGCGAGCAAGGAGGTGCAAAGCACTTGGCCCAGTGCTGGACGTCTATTTATTAAGCCCTCAGTAGATGTTATTCTTACTAAAATGACAAACATGTAACTGCCAGTTCTCTCTGGAACTTGCCTCTAGACACTGCTTTTATTGTTACTTTAGAAATCTTAAAAATCTCATTAAGGTCACATTTTTTTTACCTCCATCATTCAGCTCAGTCACTATATTATTGAAAACAAATTTGGCTTCCCTGACTTTTGGCAGTTTCTAAAACTCAAATTAATACTCGAGGGGCAGAGATTTGTCATCACAGAAGATATGCAGCAGAACAGGCACGAGCCCTTGAAGGAAACTCCCCAAGAGGTGTGCCAACACAGCTGGTGCGACCTCCACCACAGCTGACCACAGGAGACGGCAGCCACATGACGGGCGTCCTCTAATGCCTTTCTCAAAATAAAGTTAGTCACATGCCTTCAGGGTTTGTGGTGTCTGGGGGAAATCCACACACCCAGGAAGAGTTATCTCAGCTGCTCTCACCTCCTGGACTCTGCAGCCAGGATTAGTCCCAGTAACAAGGCTGCTTCCTTCCAGCTTGGCCAGAGCACCCCGAGTTACTGAGGTGTCTCACCCTAGCACTTTCCCAGCCTCAGCCCAGGCATGCTCCCTCTTATACCTTCATCCTGTCAGCCTCAACTCCCTACCCTGCTGGGCTGGGAGCCAGGAGGCTAGAAAGGCTTCATAAGGAGACAGCAAAACTCCTCCTCTGTGTCCCTGACACTGAAAGCTGAAAACTGACAGCTCTCTTGGGCAGGCTCCGGAGGACCCAAAGAGGAACACAGATGGTTTCCACGCATAAATGTGTCTAGACTAGTGTGTTCCACCAGACACGTTCAGAAATCACCGGCAAGTGGGGAAGGAATCCTGAGGGTCATGGCGGTTCACCCAAGGTGTCACAGAGGGGGCTGCAGGTGGAGGGGGTGGGACACAGAAGTTCCCCGCACTTCATATTTTAACCAAATGGAGGAATAATCTGGGGTCCAGGAAAAGAGACAGTGGCCTAATAATTCTTGATAGCTCCCTTGCCTGGCTGTTCTGATCTCTCACAGTCCCAACCATGGCGTTATAAAGTAATACAGGCAGAACCGTGGAAAATACTGTATTTATGTACACAGGAAGGACAGCTGCAGGCCCCTCACAGAGGACACTCCACCCCAAAGAAAAAACTTAGCAGCAAATTCCTATCTCCCTCCGCAGTACCAGAGCATTGAGCTGGAAGGCTGGGCTTCCTGTCTCTGGACACCCATCATACCCTTCCTAATATAGAATTCCAAATAAGGCAGGAAAACAAGAACTGAGGTCCAGTGGGACCTGGGGTGCCTGGTCATTCCTAGAGAACCTGCAGTGACTCTAGGGCAGTGACTCTATTATGAGGGTTGGACTGGGAGCGATGCTGAAACTCTTCTCTGGGTCCTGAAGCCTGCTTTGTCGAAAGCGGGCGGCAGGGTGGGGACCCAGTAGAGAACTGAAGAGTGAGTCTTGGGTTCATGGGTGCACGTGCAGATGCGTGTAGCAGGCCACAGGTTGTGCATTTTCCTTGTGCTTGATGCCTCCATCTGCCGTTCTCTCCCTGACAGCAGCCTAATATTTTGCACCTACGTTTCTTTCTGTGGCTATGGATCCAGAAACCAAGCGTTTCTCCAAACTGAATGGCTGTGGTTTGGCAACATGGCAAAGGTAACAGCTGTCCCAGGGAGGTAAGACAGATGGCTAGAAGAGTGGTTTGCTCCAATCAGATATCCTTGATTTTTTTCTTTTTTAAAATAACAGGCTGGTGACAGGTATGGTGGCTCAAGAGTGAATGGTTCCAATTCTGTTATTACCCTGAAAGAGGTCCCCTTGCTGACCTCCCTGATACCAAGGCTTCAGCAGACAGAGGCCATTCTTGCAGCTGTGGCCCTGACTGCTACCTGCCTTCTTGACAGGGCCTCACTATCTCTCCCACACCAACGGAGACTTCACATTTCCAGGGTTCCTCTGAGACCTGGGCTGGACCTCATCTGGAGGGTCTGAGCAGCCCAAGGTGTTGGGGGTGACCAAGGGCCCAGCAGGGTGTCCAAAGGACCCAATTCTAGACATTGGACTTAGGGGCTGAGTTGAGGGGGATCTCCTTGAGCTCCGTCCGCATGCACAGGTACTCCCCGATGACAGCCATGAGCGCAATGCACACGGCCTGGACCAGCCACCAGGTCAGCGCCGAGGGGAAACGGGAGCTGTAGAACCAGCAGCCCAGGAGGTGAAAGAAATGGACAGTGACAGTGAAATCCAGACACTGCTTCCCTCGCCGGATGAAGTACAGCAGGCCCAGGGCACTGTGGGGAGAGGACAGCAGTGAGTTGTCACTGGGTTGTCCTGGCCTTAGGTTAGGTAATTTGGGGAGTGGGGACACTTAGGATGACAGCATAGTGTTCAGAAGTGAGCAAGAGGGCCTGCCCCATGGCTTAGCGGTTAAGTGCGTGTGCTCCGCTGCTGGCAACCCGGGTTCGGATCCCGGGCGCACACCAACGCACCGCTTCTCCGGCCATGCTGAGGCCGCGTCCCACATACAGCAACTAGAAGGATGTGCAACTATGACATACAACTATCTACTGGGGCTTTTGAGAAAAAAAAAAAGGAGGAGGATTGGCAATAAATGTTAGCTCAGAGCCGGTCTTCCGCAGCAAAAAGAGGAGGATTAGCATGGATGTTAGCTCAGGGCTGATCTTCCTCACAAAAAAAAAAGAAGTGAGCAAGATAAGTGTGAAGCAAGGGTTACATTATTAGATGCCTAGAAGAATCTGACAGTTAATGGGTGAGAGTGACTCAGGCTGGGGAGAAGAAAAACAAACTATGAGCTTCATAAATAGCAACCATCACTCAGGGGGATCCTAGGGACTGGGGGGGATAGTGGCAACCTAAAGCGCACATGTTCCATCTAAAGTGGGGACATCTAAAGCTGGGCAAATCATCATGTTAGAAGGTTGGCCTGGAATCAATCATCTTCTCATTTTTCAAAAGAAGCCAGAAATCTGGATTTTTATACAAAATACCTTGATTTTCAACTAAGTGAAAAAATGTTTTAAACACCGTGCATGGGCTGACCACTGTGTATCTGGGAGACAAATTCAGGTCAAAGTCAGTCTACCAGTTTTCAACTTCCAGTGTAAGGTCAAGAACAGTAATGTGCAAGGCATTGCTCTAAGCACTTGCTGTGAATTAACTCATTTAATCCTTACAACTATGAGATGGGTGACATTATTATCTCATATCACTGATGAGGAAGCTGGGGCTTTGATAGATTGACTTGTCCACGGTCACTAGACTAGTGGGAAAGCTGAGATTCAAAGCCAAGTGAGTCTGCCTCCAGAGCCTGAGATCTTAACCATTATGCTAAACTGCCTCTCAAGAGACAGGCAATGGTCATGAGAGATCTTAGAGGTTACCCAGTCAAACCCCTCAGTATACAGATGAGGAGCCCGAGGCCCAGAGAGGAGGGAAGTAACTGGCCAATGGTACACAGACCAACAATAGAACCCACTTCTCCTGGCTCCCAGTCCAATCCTTTCCTCACCTCGTTCCATATGGGGGACGTAGTCTGAGATGGAAGCTGTCCCACAGGTAGCATGCACAGAGTGACATAAGAGCTTTCCAGCTAAGTCAAAACCACGATGGAAGGAGCCCCGTGATGGAGCCAGTCCCAGAATTGGCCTCTGCCACCCACTTTAGTCCACCACTCCCCAGGAACAAGTGCCAGCCTGTCTCACGTCCAGATGTAGGAAGTTAGTTCCAGTGCAAAGGTCCCAAAAGCTGGATAGCAAAACTGGTGATACTTACCAGGTGAGGGCATTGAGGACGAAGGACATCATGGAGAGCCGGCCTGGAGGGGTGGAGAAGCCCAGGATCTGAGGGGGAATCACAAATGGAAATATGCTGGAGAAGTGATGTGGCAGAGCCCCAGGACCCCAGCAGGCCTCCTAAGCCTTCTTCCCAGAGCACAGAAGACAATACCCCCCTTCACCTGTATGGCAGCCTATTTCCAACCAGGTGCTTTCACCGACATCCATTATGTTACCTCATTTGACCCCTCACAGCAGCCAGGAAGGGATTAGTATCCTCATTTTACAAAGGAGAAATAAAAACTCAGAGAAGTTAAGTAACTTGCCCAAAGTGATACAGTAAGTAAATAGCAAGAGTAAGGTCTAGAACAGGGTTCAGCAAACTGTGGTCCCACGGGCCAGGCACCTATTTTTGTAAATAAAGTTTTATTGAAACACAGCCATACCTATTCGCTTAGTATTGTCTCTGGCTGCTTTTGTACTACAATGGCAGAGTTGAGTAGCTGTGACCTAAAATCTTTACTATCTTGTCCTTTAAGAAAAGTTTGCCAACCCCTGGTCCAGAATTCACGTTGTGTGCATGAGGTAGCTCTTCAACAAAGCCCAGGATTCCCACATGCCCCTCCCAGGAGGACGGAGGCTCCTAAGAGGCTATTACTAGGCACTTGGTGGGCATGCGACCTCCACCACTCAATACACTACTGAATACCAAACACCTGCACACTTTTAGCTTACAAAGGCCTTTGACATCCATAATCTCATATTATCCTCACAACAACCTTGCAAAGCTATTATCATTATTGTTATTCTTACCTCTTTTGAGATAATAACTTGCCCAAGGGCTACACAGAGAATAAGCTGCAGGAGCAAGGATTCCATCCCAGATCTCCCAGCTCCAAGAACTGTGCTCAGGACCCTACACCACAGCTGCCTCTCACATGCAAAAACATCTTAGGCCTCCATTACACTTTATAAAGCAGTTTCACATTCCTAGGCCCCTCTGGGCCTCATAACATTTTGCTGAGGATTATTCTGCCCAGTTTCTAGAGGAGGAAACAGGCTCAGAAAGGTGAAGAAACTCGCCCAAAGTCCCACAGCTGTATGTTTGGGCCTAGACCTTTCTGAATCCGAAGTACAGGCTCTTTGTACTGCAGTCCACGACCTCTCTGTTACTGCTCTCATGATTTTGCAGACAGGAAAACTGAGGTTCAGAGAGGTGACAACACTTGCCCCAGGTCGCACAGCTACTAAGTGGAACTTACACGGAGGCCTCCCTGACTCTCGAGTCCAGGCTGTTTCCATTATACCTCCGTGAATGCTCTTTTATCCATCCCCCTCCCTACTATGGCCATTTGAGAATCTGGGGCTCAGAGAAGTGAAGTCACTTTCTCAGAACGTCAGAAGGGAGATGTTATCAGGTTGCCTGGAACGCCGGCCTGTTTGTTATATAACATCGAGGTCCTTTCCTTAGTGCTAACCTGCCTCTCTGTTATCAGTCATTCCATTTTATGGATGGGCCACCTGAGGCTCCCTTTCTCGGGGACATCCCTTTCTCGGGGCCACAAAGCGAGAAGGTGGCCCAGCTAGGTCTAGAGCCCAGGAGTATCAGACCAAATTCCCACCCGGTGAGGCCAAGACCCCGCCGGGCCGGCCCGGGGACCTTACCTCGGCATCGAACATCTGGTCCAGGGAGGGGGTACTGCGCACCAGCCCGTCCACCAGCGCCAGCCACAGGCCCAGTGAGCCGTAATAGACGGTCTGCATGAGGACGATCTGCGACAGGATCAGCAACGGGTCCCACACGTAGCTGCGGAACTGGCCCGCCATGCCGGCCTGCGGGGCCCGGCCGCCAACCGGGCCTGGGTCAGCGCCGCCGCGCCATGGGCTCCGTGCCGCCCCGGCACCTGCAAGGCACACGCCTGGCCTCAGCCAGCGGGCCGTCACCATGGCAACGCCCCCCCCCGACCAGGAGGAGGGACTGGGATGGAAGGGGCGAGCCCATTCCAGGAGTTGGGCGGACGGACAGACCCATTCCCAAAGTGAGGGGAAATCCTGCCCATTCCGGGTGCTCGGCCCCCGCCCGTACTCAAGCTCCTTTGGGGTCCACTCACCGGTGACGGACTCGAGGATCGAAGGGTCCGAGCGCAGCCCAGCCTCACCTGCTGGCCCCCGAAATACTGCTGACAGACAGAACCATGGAGAACAGGCCCTCCCGGCCTAGAGAGGCAAAGCTCCAGCGACGGCAGCGGCTGCGTAGGAAGGAAGCGTTTCCGGGGACGGCGGTGGGGGCGGGGCTGAGACTGCGCAGGCGTAGTGGGTGCAATCTTCGGCTCTGCCCTCTGAACTAGGGTGCGGGCAGCCGGGAAGCGAAGTGTGCACATGCGCAAAATGAAGAATGACGGCGAACGGAAGTAAGGCATGAGAGTGGTAGAGCTTGCATGCCCTCTAGAGGGGAATGTTGAAGCAAAAGAGGGCGAGTGGGGGAGATGGAAGAGGGGTGGCCAAGGGCGGGGGAAAGATGTTTGGGAAATTAAGGAGGTGATAAACGTTGACTCTATTTTCAGCCTAGATTCCTAATGTTTTCTTTCTATTAGTTAAGGTCTGGGATAACTTGAAATGAACCTACCAGCTGTTCCACACATCATTTTGCCACTGTTCCCGTTTTACAGATGATTAAACTAAGGGCGAGAAGGAAAGCAACATACTGTCTCAAAGACATAAGAGTTAGTGGAGTCAGGATTAGAATTCACGTATTGCTAACGCCACAGCATCGATTTCGTACCTACTGGGTGCCAGGAAGATTTGGACACGTTGGAATGAGACAGTCCCTGCCCTCAGACACAACGTAACTATATTAGAAGGCAGAGTATTGATGTTTTATAACGTGGGTATCCATTTATATTTATATATCCGTATATATTTATAATGGAAAGAAAGCACAGGTTCTGAAGTCATACCTGGGAGCATATCTGGGCTCTGCCTGCCGCCATGACTGTTTTCTCTTGGCCTCCTCCTCTGAGTCCAAATAGTGTGGACAGTCAGTAAATATTTGCTGAATGAGTCAAGAACAGAGAAAGGGCAACGGCAAATTGATGACTCACTTCATTCCAGCCCCAGCAGACCAAAACCCCTCAACTTCATTGATTCTAGGTTCCCTCTCTCCGGAAATGGAAAGGGAAGTAACTGGTTCTAGGAAAAGAACATGGGTTTTAGCTCTGCTAGCTGTGTGACTAGCAAGCCACTTCTTTAAACCTCAACTTCCCTGTTTATGAAATGAGGAGTTACACAAGATTAACATTTTCCAACATTTACTCTATCCTCCACTAATTATTTTCCCATTTAAAAAAAGCTTATCAAAGACCCACGTAACTGCCAATCAGAACTTCTGAACAGCATGTGGTAATCATTATCACCTTAAGTTGATACAATTCCAGACAAAAGTAAAGAAACAGGAGACTTTATCAAGAGTCAGTATGTGATTTCCCTTATCATTTGGAAATGCTATAAACAGTTCACTTGGACTCCAGTTTGGAAGTCATTAAGGCCCAAAGAATTCTGAGGTGCTTTCCAGCTCAGTCGTTCTTTTAGGCGCCTCAATTCAATTCAACAAATATGTATTCAAATCCCCCTGGTCCACTGATTACTCACATGATCTAGTGTTTCCGAGAAAACATCTTCTGTTTATTAAATACCTACGTGATCTTGTTTCATCATTATGATCCAAAAAGTAGATATTATCCCCCTTTTTGAAAGTGAGGAAACTGAGGCTCAGAGAGAAGGCATGACTGTCCCTAGGTCAGAGGAAGCTGAGCTAGGATTCAAACCCAGGACATCTGACTCCATGCACCAAGATACTATTACAGAAAAAAAAAAAAAAAAGAAAGGAGACAGTGAAATAAGTGGTGGAGTAGTGGGAAGTGGGAAAGGAGCAGTGAATCCCTCCGCTCGAGTAGCTCTGGAGTGAGGAATTAAGGAGAGGTGGGAGGAGAGGGTCAGGGAAAGTGCTTGAGAGGTTTGAGTTACTTCCCGCAGGCAGCTTCCTCTTCCTTGCAGGTGCAAGAATGTGTGGCTCTTCGTGAGTCAGGCCTCCGCCGCCGTCACAGCTGGACCCTCTCCACCCTATCTCCTCCCCCAGAGGGAAGGCCCTCCCTACCCATTCTCCTGAAATGGAAAACACAGGTAGCCTGGAGCCTGAGGCGTTGGGGCCAGCTGGATAGCTGGTGTCTGATGTCATCCCTGGAGCCCAGAGCTCACCTCTGGGAAATCCCCACGGGCCCGCAGGATGGCCTATTGCAGTTTCCTTTTCCCTGTAGGATTTCAGCTCTTGAATTCCCACTTTTTCAAGCCCCAGAAGTGGGCACCACCCTGTGTCTTAATTTGGGTACAACAAGGAAACCAAGAGCTGGGGGAAACCACAGTAACTCCCTGGGCCAGCCCTTCCTTGGCCCATTTTGAGAATTTGACCACAAGCAGCCTGAAGAAGAAGAAGAAGCTTTGGGTCCAGACTGCAAAGCCTGGGCTAGGGCCACACTGACTGGCCATGTAACCTTGGGCAAGTCCCATGGTGCTGGGTCTCAGCATCCCAAACTGTAAAATGAAAGAGGGGCATTGGACTCCAACATCCAGATGCAGTCCATGGCCCTGTGCCACTGAATCACCTGAGGAACATAGTCCGATTCCCAGGCCTTGTTGCAAACCAAAGTCTGAATTGCTAGAAGCAGAGTCCAAAAATCTGTATATTTAAAGAGCTCCCCAAGTAGTTCAGAAGTATGCTACATTTGGTAATTACAAAACAAGATGAGCTGTAATTCACCTCAAACCAGCCCTTCTTTCTAACAGCAAATTGTTCTGTGACCTTCCCATGTCCATGGCTCTCTTCAGGCCCCAGGGTTTTTTTCCATCTGTAATATGAGGGGGTTGGACCAGAATAGCTGATCTCCAAGGGCCTTTCCCACGCTGCCAAGTTTGTGGTTTCAAACTTATGAATGAAATTTTAAACTTTAGGTCAGAGGCAGAATGATGAAAAGCCACAAGCTGGGACAAACTGTCCTCTGGGTACAGAGGAGGGAAGTGACTCTGGTCACTTGATCACTACATCACTCCCAGACTGGGCCCCCACTGTGGGCATGTAAGACCAATCCTGCTGGGGTTACTTTCCAGATCCACCCCCATAAATCCCTTGGGAAGGGTCCTCATACAGGTCTATGGGCTTTGGAGCCCTGCTTGTATTGGAATCCTGGCTCTACTGCTATCTTGCTGGGTGACCTTGGGCAAGTTAACTTCATCTTTCTTCGTCTCAGTTTCTTTCTCTATAAAATGGGGATCAGAATAGTACCATGTAGTGGGCTGTCCTGAGGATCAAATGTGTGCTTACCCCACTGCCTGATATATGGTCAGTGTTATGTAAACGTTAGCCATATTAATTATTGTTATTATTTCTTCCCTCGGAATGTGGGAGTGGTAACACCTGATCTCTCAGATTTAGGCCAGGATCTAAGTACGTAGACAGAGTGAGCCTGGTGCCTGGTATATAGTAGGAACTCAGTAAATGTGGTACCTTCTCTTCCTGATCCCACCCCACCCCCAAGGTTCTCCAACTCCCTCCCTTCCTCCCTTCTCCCTTCCCTCAGCTGCCCTGCAGCCTCTCACGTGATCCCTTTCAGGGACTGTTTGATGAAAACACTTCAGGGGAGACACGTGTCTCAGGGACAGGTTATGCAACCCTGCACTCACACTTTTCGGAAACTCCATGTGGGAGGCTAGCTTTTGGCTGCCTGTCCTCTGCATCGGCGATCAACCTGGGCTCTGGCCAGTGAGTTCCTCTCTTAGAAGGGAAACTGGACAGAAAGAGCTCATGGCCTGCCTATTTTCTCCTCCAAACTGAGAACCCTTTGTTACCCGGACTGTTTTAAGGGCTGTGAGTGCCTCTGTGTTTGGGCAGGAACGTTTGCTGAGCATCTGCTGTGTGCCAGACACATGTATTATCTCATTTAATCCTTGTTTAATTTCTAAAACAAACCTGTGAATTGTAGATGCAATTAATATTCCCACTTAACAGATAAGGAACCTGAGGCTCAGAGGAAGGACACCATTTACTCAAGACCACACTGCCAGTGAGTAGTAGAGCTGGAACTCCAACCCAGGTCAGTGTGACTCCACCCACCACCTCTTCCCAATGCTCAGTAGAACGTGCTCGGGACAGTACAGTTTACATAGAGCTTTCGCCTACATGATCTTATCATCTCTACGGCCCTGGGGAGGTAGGGATATACATTTTCCCCATTTTACAGATGAGGGAATTGAAGCTCAGAGAAGGAAGTGACACACTCAGTACACAGCTAGGGTGTGGTTGGTCTGGTCAGCTGCAATGATCAAAGTTAAGAAACGTTTGGAGCTTTTGTCTTCCCACTCCGGTCTCCCTCTTCTTTACACCAGAGGGGGTCAAGGGACTGGTTTCCTGTGTTCTGTGCTCCACAGTCGGTGGTTTTCTGCAAATTATGTCTCTATAGAGGGTGAACGATGCCAGGCATTCCAGTGGGTGGCTGGGCCTCTGAGCTGAGGGTGTTGTTTCTCTTGAATAAATAACTCTTTTCCAGGGATTAGTTACCCAGGTCTAAGACACCCTGGAGGGGAAGGAGAAAAGTGAGATTTTCTGAAACAGTTGCAACCATCCCTCAGGTTTTCTCTCCACCATGTTCTATACTTTTTGCCTCTCTCTAGAAATTATTCCTTGCTCTGACCTTGAAGGATTCAGGGCTTTATTTTAAGAAGAAAAGCTATTTTCTTCACCTTCATTTGCATCATCATTCATTCCCTCAATCAATCATTCATTGATAAATGTTCATTGAGCATTTCCCATGTCCCAGGAACTGGTCTGGGTGGTACAGATATAAGTGAATAAAGTGAATAAAGAGAAAAACTCTGACCTCGTAGAGCTCGTATTTTCATGGAGGAGGCAGACCATGTAAACCAACAATGTAAAATGTCACATCAAGTTGTGAGAAGTACTCTGAAGAAAGTGGGGGGTAAAGGGATAGAGAAGGGTAGAGGAAGGAGGGTGAGAGGAAGTTCTTCAGAAACGGCAGTCAGCAAAGACCTCCCTGTAGAGGTGGCATTCAAGCAGAGATCTGATCCAAGTGAAGGATAGAGCCAACTGGATATCAGGGAAGAACATTCCAGAGAGAGGGACCTCAAGTGCAACGCCCTGAGGCAGGAATGAGATTGGCATATTTAGCAGATAGCAAGGAGTCTAGTGTGGCAGGAACTG